TTAGTTTGAAAGCCCTTTAAAACTTTTTTTCTTTTAATCTTCGCTAGCATGCCATAAACAGTAAGTTTTATCTCAACACCAGTGGAAAAGTCAGCAGATTCAAAGTAGGCAGAAAAAAAAAAATAGAGAACTTAGAAGACTCTACATGTTAACCCTATAGTTGCAAGTTTTTCAATTAATGACCATTTGAGACCTGAATTTTCCTTGATGTAATTTTCCCATGAGTTTAAAAATCTACACAAGAACAGGCCATAATATGTAGCCATTGGGAGTCCAAGAAATCTGATATGCCTTAATGTTTGAGAATCCCATTCCATTTTATATTAATCTCCACAGAGCAAAGAAAATCCTATAAATTTCAGGGAATGTCAGAAGTTTTAGAACGGGTGTTTTAGATGGTGGCAACGACCCTAGTGACTTTTAATTAGTCATCCTGCACCCACCAACCAGAATGTTTATTTTTGCTCTTAGAAGATATTCAGAAACAAACAAGGAGAAAGAGTCAAACCAAATCAAAGGAAAGCAAGAGAAGAGTTTTCACAAAAATTTTGACCTACACGTGCAGATTAAAAGAAATATTAAACTGGGTTCACAAACCAGAGAAGACATAGCTCAAAGAGAGAAGGTAAATTCTGTGGAAACCAAAAGTATTCAATCTAAAAAGTCTTTTATAGTCACAGAAGGGGTGGAGGATCCTTTATTAAGATGGCCTTATCCAAACCAGATCCCAAATAAAGTCAAACCGTCTCTGTCAAAAGGAGGAAGGTTCTACTTGAGAGAAAACTCACCAGAAGAGAAAAGGTGAGCTATAGAGGCAAAGGGTCAAGTAGATATGCACTCTGGTTTTATGAATCACCGGTTCCTTCCAATAGTGATCTTTTTCAGATCCCACTTCTGACACCATATATGTCAACCTAAATAACAGAAAGAGGCCCTCTAAAAGAAAAGTTGGTTATTTGAGAATAGATCATGATAGTGGGAATGTACGTGCCATAGTAAACTGTGTGCATATTCAGGAGGTAAAGGAAGACAAAGATTTTTGAAGGAAAAAATGAGGACTACATATTGTTTTGTAATAATTATCCTTAAGATAGGTATGTAATTTGAGTCATTACGAAACAGGGCTGTCTGGTGACAATGTCTAGGAGAAAGGGGTACTGCTGCTGTAGAAATAAAGAGAGCATCTTTGGGGACCCCAGGATATGAAAAGTGGCCTCCAAATCAATAATTCCATAACTTTTGCTTTTAGGCTATATGTTCTTTTATTAGAGGAGAAGAATTTGGCTCACTTTGAAAAGAATAAAATTCTGCCCTGCATTGGCCTTTTACAGAGAGTTTGGTTTCTCTAGTAGAAATGCCTCCCACTTTCCTGGAGGCTGTTTTCCCTAGAAGGCCTTTCATTTTGGAAAGCTGTTTGCTCCAAGAGCCTGTCATTGCACTTAATTTGAAGTTAATAGAGCATTTTCTTCTAGTCCCAGGCTTTGCCCAGCTATTTTACTGGCACAACTCTTGGATCTCTGAAACTCCAGTCCTTGGGAGTGACCTCGAGTGATCCTTCCGCCTCCGCCTCCCAGAGTGCTGGGATGACAGGCGTGAGCCACCGCACCCGGCCGACTCCCTGTGACCAAGGTGTGTTTTTGTTTGTCCTCCTGCCAACGCTTGTTTCCTGAGCTCTTATATTTCAGGTGGAAGTTTGGCATTCTGCTTTTTCAGATACTGAGTCTAGGAAGTATAGTCCCTTCCTAACTGTTCAGAGCCACACAGCACTTTATTTATTTATTTATTTATTTATTTATTTATTTATTATTTATTTTTTTTTTGAGACAGAGTCTCGCTTTGTTGTGCAGGCTAGAGTGAGTGCCGTGGCGTCAGCCTAGCTCACAGCAACCTCAAACTCCTGGGCTCGAGCGATCCTTCTGCCTCAGCCTCCCGGGTAGCTGGGACTACAGGCATGTGCCACCATGACTGGCTAATTTTTTCTATATGTATGAGTTGGCCAATTAATTTCTTTCTATTTATAGTAGAGACGGGGTCTCGCTCTTGCTCAGGCTGGTTTCGATCTCCTGACCTCGAGCAATCCGCCTGCCTTGGCCTCCCAGAGTGCTAGGATTACAGGTGTGAGCCACCGCGCCGGCCTCAGTATATTCTCTTATGGGTATAAAGGTAACTTGAGTCCTCTGATATTAACTCTGCCTTCAGTTACCCTTAGCTTTCTTTTAGGCAGCTTTCAACTTAGGCAGAAGAGAAAGCCTTCAGAATCCTTGTACTTTGTTGGTGGGAATGTAAATTAGTACAGCCATTGTGGAAAACAGGGCACCATGCCTGGCTAATTCTTCTATTTTTTGTAGAGATGGGGTCTCATTCTTGCTTAGGCTGGTCCTGAACTCCTGGCCTCAAGTGACCCTCTCACCTCAGCATCCCAAAGTGCTAGGATTACAGGTGTGAGCCACCACACCTGCCCTGAAAGACTGTTATTGATAGTTACACTATTAGTGAATTTTGTCTTGTTAGTACTCAAGAAAAGTTTAAAAGAAGAAACAAAATAGCTTTATAGTAGGAAATCGCTCTTATCATGGAGCCAGAAAGAACACCATAATATTTAAGCATATATAGGAGATCTCTTCTGAATGCTCAGGGTGACAGTCTGGGTTAGGGGAGAGTGGGTACATGTGTGTGGCTGAGTGGAGGAAGGGGTATTAGAGTTTGTTGTCCTTTCCTGCTTTCAGTGGTTTGATCAGTCATTTTAGTAATGGGAACTAGAATCGATATTTCTCTACTAAGTAAGTAAAATAACGTGTTGGATTTTTTTTTATTTCAAAATATTAAAGGGGTACAAATGTTTTTGTTACATGAATACCTTTTATAATGCCTAAGTTGGGGCTTTTAGTGTGCCCATCACCCAAGTAGTGTCTTTGTACCTGATAGGTAAGTTTTTACCCCGCCCTCCTCCTTGATTTCCAATTACCTTTATATCTCTTTGTGCCCATGTGTGCCCATCAGTTAGTTCCCAATTATTAGAGAGTACATGTGGTGTTTGTTTTTCCATTTCTGAGATACTTCACTTAGGATAATTGGTCTCCAATTCCATCCAAGTTGCTGCAAAAGACACCATTTCATTCTTTTTTTATGGCTGAGTAGTACTCCATACCGTGTACATGTATACATACATATGTGTATATATATGCATATATATACACGATTTTGTTTATCCACTCATGCATTGATGGACACTTAGGTTGATTACACATCTTTGCTATGGTGCATTGTGCTGCAATAATCATTCGAGTACAGGTGTCTTTTTGATAACATGATCTCTTTTCCTTTGGGTAGACCCCCAGTAGTGGGATTCCTGGGTCAGATGGTAAGTGCGTGTTTATTTCTTTGAGGACTCTTCATACTGTTTTCCATAGAGGTTTTATTAATTTGCAGTCCCACCAACAGTGTATAAGCATTCCGTTCTGCATCCATGCCAGTATCTATTGTTTTTTGCCTTTTTAATAGTGGCCATTCTGACAGGGATAAGTGATATCTCATTGTGGTTTTAATTTACACTTCCCTGATGATTAATGATGTTGACCATTTCTTCATGTCTGTTGGCCATTTGTTTATCTTCTTTTGTAAAACATCTGTTCATGTCTTTTGCCCACTTTTTAATGGGGTTGTTTGTTTGTTTTTCTTGCTGATTTGTTTGTGGGTTGTAATTGTAGGACTAACCACTATCAGAAGAGGTAGAATGGTTATCTAGGCAGACTCTGACTGCCTAGGCTAAGGGGCTACAGTTCTCTGCCTTAGGACTCCAAGCAGGCACCATTTAAAATTGGATTTTAGATAAGAGTATTTGTAACTAATACCATGAGACTGTTACATTTTATTTCATTCGAGTGTCCAGAAGTGCTTTTGTTGTTCATTTATCCCAAAGTGACAGACTAGAAATCCTGAAGAGAATGAAAAAAGAGAGGAGGGAGGGAGGGAAAGAGATTTTTCAGGAGGGAAAAACACTGAGGATAATGTGCAAGAAAAAAGCACAATAGGTATTCAGAGAAATACTACTTTTTATTCAAAAGAAAACACAGGTACATTTTTAACATACAAATACATGGCAGTTCAAATTCAATAGCTGTAAGGGAGGCTTATTCATGGAAGTGATGACACTGGTTATGATTTAGTAAAAGTCACGGAGCTAATGGCTATTTGAACAATAGCTCAGTATCTTTTGAGAATAATCTAGCTGATTCCCCTATGTAAGTGACTCTGTGGGGATGAGGGATTTTCTTTTTTTAAGTATTTAAGTCAGATATTTGAGAGGTTTTAAAAAATTTTAAGCTAATTATAAATGTGCTATTGACAAAGTCTCTCAGACCCAATGATAGAGTCATAACGACTTCTATTTAATATATACAAAGATCCTAGCTCTTGGGAGGCCGAGGCGGGCGGATTGCTCAAGGTCAGGAGTTCAAAACCAGCCTGAACAAGAGCGAGACCCCGTCTCTACTATAAATAGAAAGAAATTAATTGGCCAACTGATATATATATAAAAAATTAGCCGGGCATGGTGGCGCATGCCTGTAGTCCCAGCTACTCGGGAGGCTGAGGCAGGAGGATCGCTTGAGCCCAGGAGATTGAGGTTGCTGTGAGCTAGGCTGACGCCACGGCACTCACTCTAGCCTGGGCAACAAAGCGAGACTCTGTCTCAAAAAAAAAAAAAAAAAAATATATACAAAGAATTATGGGCCGGGCGCGGTGGCTCACACCTGTAATCCTAGAACCTTGAGGTCAGGAGTTCGAAACCAGCCTGAGCAAGAGCAAGACCTCATCTCTCCTATAAATACAAAGAAATTAATTGGCCAACTCATATATGTATAAAAAATTAGCCGGGCATGGTGGCGCATGCCTATAGCCCCAGCTACTCTGGAGGCTGAGGCAGCAGGATTGCTTGAGCCCCAGGGGATTGAGGTTTCTGTGAGCTAGGCTGACACCACGGCACTCACTCTAGCCTGGGCAACAAAGCAAGACTCTGTCTCAACAAAAAAGAAAAAGAAAAAAAGAATTGTAGATAAAAAGCCATTTTGTAATGAAAGCTCTATCTACATTGGCCATTAATAAGTTAGTTAAAGTGATTTCTAGCATAATTAGAGTGCTAAAGAATTTGTGGCCAGTTCTAATAGCATTGTTAGTGAAGAAAATGTACTATTATCGTAAACTAGAGAATCTGATTCAGGTATGGGAATTAATTGTAATTATAATGCTTCATTTAAATGTGAAGTTACATGTACCCCTTGAACCTTAATCCAAACTTAGTTTGTTAACTAATTATGGTGGGGAATTTTCTGACTTGGCTAATTGATTGAATAGTTACATGACTGAGGTTACAGTTTTCATATCTAAAAGCAGATTTGTTTCAGTGCTAAGGAGGTATAGCATAGCTATTACTAGGCTTATCGTTAGTAATTACTTTTGTGGATATTCCATTGACTAAGAGGATCTGTGAACCTTGTTTCCCAGCCGTCATTGCTGCTTGCCTCTCTGTCTGCTTTCTTGTGTTCATTCTCTGCTGCGAATGATGGCAGCCAGATTGTTTGAATTCTTAGTTATTCTCCTAAGAAAAGAGAAAAGGATGATGTGTGCGACTGTGTGTGTTGGGTGGATATATGATAGAGACAGGCTTAGCCCAAAGCAGAACTGGGTATAAAATTGCTATTTGGGAGGGTTCTGGCTTCTTCTTTCTGCGTCTTGCCCTATCCCCAGCTGTTACCTTCCCATCTCCCAGTCAGGAAAGACTTCAGCATTAAGGGTTACCAATTTTTATATACCGGTTGGTATGTGAGCCATTCTTAAAGATTCCTTAGATTCATCTGTGTGCATAGTGGAGATGCAATATTTTCATATCTTTCCCGAAGTGCAAAGCACCAACAGTGGTGAATAAGCACCACCAGGTCCTTTTGGAAATTTTTGTTGAGAAAGCCATAAAAAAGAGGGTTTATACATGTAGAAACCATAGCAAACAAATGGCAAACTGCAAATACCAGGTCATGGTGGCAGTTCATCAGCACCTCAGGATGCCAGTCAAAGATGACATTGAAGATGTTCAAGGGCAGCCAGCAGGCTCCAAAAGTCACCACGATGGAAATCAACATTGTGTTGATCCTCTTGTTCTCACTCTCCCGGCCATCATTTTCTCTCTTTCTATTGACCTTCCCATTTCTCCTGCAGAGGCAGATGACAATTTTCAGGTAGCAGATGAGGATGAAGCCCAGAGGGACAAAGTACTGGACCATAAACAGAGAGGTGGTAAAGAGCAGCTGGTTCATTTTGGATGGCCAGTTCTCTACACAGACCACCCGGTGGGCATAGAGGTCAGTGGGGAGAGACATGTTGTGGAAGGGCTCATTGGTGAGTTGATAGGACAGGAAGAAGGGAATAGACAACAGAAGAGAAAACAGCCAAATCAATGTGATGCCCCAGTAGGCATGGGATACACTGGGCTTCCAGCCACAGGGGTTCACAATCAGCTGATGTCTTTCAACGGCAATTAATACAAGTGAGAATATGGATACAGAGATTGAGACACTCTGCACGTAGGAAGTTAGTTTGCACATGATGTCCCCAAATATCCAATGGTCCATCAAAATGTAGATGACAGTAAAAGGGATGCACATGACACACACCAAGATGTCAGAGAAGGAGAGATTGGCAATCAGAATGTTGGTGGCGTTCTGAGCTTCTCTCTGCTTCTTCAAGATGATGATGATGAGAGAGAGGTTTCCAAAAAGGCCCACAATTAAGACCACAGTATAGGCTGTGAGTAGTAGCAGTAGGGCTAGAGAAGGGGGTTGACAGGACTCAAAGTTAAAAAATGCAGAGTTGTTGCTCTTTGTGCTGGTTTTATCAGATGTCGGGTGGTTTAGGGAAACTTCCATTATGTCAGGATTGTAAGAAGAGATTTTCTAAGCTTACATATATTATGGGTAGATATTTTGGTCATCAGTTCTTGGGAAGCATTTTGTTCTGAGGCTTCCAATGAGTAATCAGTAGGGTTTAGTCTTTCCTGATCTCTGTATTTGCTGGAAACACATGGAAGACTTGAGCACGTTCTTGAGACCCTAAAAAATTAAACAGAATGCAGAATATTAACACAAGTTCTTTTTTTTTTTTTTTTTTTTTTAAGACAGAGTCTCACTCTGTTGCCCGGGCTAGAGTACCATGGCGTCAGCCTAGCTCACAGCAATCCCAAACTCCTGGGCTCAAGCAATCCTACTGCCTCAGCCTCCTGAGTAGCTGGGACTACAGGCATGCACCATCATGCCCGGCTAATTTTTCTGTTTTTAGTAGAGACGAGGTCTCGCTCTCGCTCAGGCTGGTTTCTAACTCCTGACCTAGAGTGATCCTCCTGCCTTGGCCTCCCAGAGTGCTGGGATTACAGGCGTGAGCCACCGCGCCCAGCCAAAAGTTCTTAATATGGATAATTCTATAGGTGGAACTATGTCCCTGCGAAGACAAAGAACAAATATCACAGAGGATCTCTGTTTACACTTACTGTCCTTCTATCTCAGGATACTTTATTTGTCCCCTCAGTATAATCCTTAGAACTAGTGAGGCAGGGAATGTAACAGTGTCCCGTTCACTATATAAGGCAGCCCAAATATACGTTTCCATCCCTATCAACTTCTTTTTTTTTTTTTTTATAGTCTTCTGAGTATGCACTTACTTGCTCCAATGGACTGTAAAAGTCATAAGGATAGGGATCGTGCTGTGGAGGTCAAAATACTATGTTTGAAGTTGGGTTCTGCTATGTTTTCAGTGCTTGTATCCCCTCCAAAATTCATGTTGAAACTTTTAAGTTTGTATTTTATTTTACTTTTTAGAGATAGGGTCTTGCTCTCTTTCCTGGGCTGGACTACATTGGCCCCATCATAGCTCACTGAAGCCTCAAACTTCTGGCCTCGAGTGATCCTTCCACCTTGGCCTCCCCAAAGCACTGAGATTGCAGGGATGAGCTACCATGCCTGACCTCATGTCGAAATAATCCCTGATGCATCAGTATTAAGAGATGGGGCCTTTAGGAAGTGATTAGGTCATGAGGGTTCTGCCTTTAAGAATGGATTAATGCCTTATTAAAGGGCTTGAGGGATAGCTTTGGGCGTGGTGGCATGTGCCTGTAGTCCCAGCTACTTGGGAGGCTGAGGTGGAGGATCCTTTGAGCCCAGGAGTTCAAGGCTGCACTGGGGAGCATAGTGAGACCCTGTCTCTAAAAAATAAAATTAAAAAAAGAGCTTGATCCTCAGCAAGTTCTCCGTAAAACATCAAAAATGAAAAAAAATAAAAAATAAAAAGAGCTTGAGGGGGCAAGTTTACCCTTTCTGTCTCTTTCGCCATGTGAAGACACAGCAACAGGCGCCATTCTGGAAGCAGACAACAGCCCACATCAGACACTAAACCTGCTGGTGCTTTTATCTTAGACTTTCCAGTCTCCAGAACTGTGAGGAACTTCTGTTGTTTATAAATTACCCTGTGGTATTTTGTTACAGCATCACAAATGGACTAAGATAGGTTCTAAATGAAGCATCAGTACTTGGTATCTATATGACTTTGACATAAGTCAGTTACCCTTCCTCTCTTCCTCATCAGTTTTCTTATCTGTAAAATGGGGGATAAACTCTGTCTGAGTTGTAAGAATTAAATGAGATCATGCAACTGAATTTTTTCCCTCAGCCCCAACACAGAGCACACAGTAGATGCTTGGTATATATGTGTTGAATAAAATTTGTCAGCTGTACTGCCCAAAGCTAACCTATAGCGTTTAGCCTAGGGGTTAGAGCCACAGAACATACCTGCTGTGGAATAGCAGATGCCTTCTCCTCTTTTCCCTTCTTTCACTCTCTGAGGCTGAAACCGCATTCTGCGTAGGCAGTTTCTGGATATGTTGCCCAGATTCTGGGGATCAGTGCAAGGAAGGCAGCCAATGCCTAATGAGCTATTACCTAGAATTAACTTATTTAGAAAGCATCTTCCAATTCTTCCTTCCTCCAGATCCCTTCTTCTAACTTCCAGAGGAAAGGGGCACCCTGGTTCTATGGCTCAGCGTAGTTTAGGGTAGGCATACGCAGTGGAATCATTCCTACCAGGCTGTCCACCAGGCTTGATGAACTCTCTGCCATTCTAAAATGCTACAATTTCTGGCCCAAAGGGGAGACATTGAAGGAGAACAAAGGAGGAAAAAAAAACCAAAACCCTTCATCTTGGTTTATTCTTAATTGGCCAACTATATATATTAGTTGGCCAATTAATTTCTTTGTATTTATAATAGAGATGGGGTCTCGCTCTTGCTCAGGCTGGTTTTGAACTCCTGACCTCGAGTGATCTGCCCGCCTCGGCCTCCCAGAGTGCTAGGATTATAGGCATGAGCCACTGCCCCTGGCCTAGCAGATTCTTATTAGAAAGAAATCACCTTAAGAATATTTATGTCTGTCATGATTTTAACAATACATACCATAACAAAGAACACCATAAAAATACCACAGATGAGCTGGGTGGGGTGGTGTGCGCCTGTAGTCCTAGCTACCAGAGAGGCTGAGGTGGGAGGATTGCATGAGGCCAAGAGTTCAAGGCTACAGTATGCTATGATTACACCTTTGAATAGCCACTGCACTCCAGCCTGGGCAACGTAGCAAGATACCGTCTCTAAAAACAAAACAAAACAAAAAAACCCCACAGATGAATAGGAACTGTTGATAAAGACAGTATGTTTTATAAAGAAGGACCCAAAGAACTGATCTGTGACTCAGATGTGGTATAGTGATAGGAGAAATAGTGAAATCTATAAACAGTAGTATTTGAAATAAGGTTTAAGGTTTGGATGATTCAGGAATTCAACAAACCTAGAGTTCACAGATACTGGCTGAAGGAGAATTTCAAGGCAGATTTAAGCTCTTTATACAGTTGATAGATTATAAATCAGAAACAGAAAGTTTTTATTGCTAATTAATTAGAGGCCTCCTACCAAGTGAGTGCCATTGGAGAAGGAAAAGAATGAAAAGGAAATAGGCGATAACTGCACACACTGTTTGGTGTGCTAGAACGGGCGTTAGACTTCTTGTCAGGAGACGTGTCCTACTGCTGACTAGCTGTTTGATCTTGGGTGAATCACTCTCCTTCTCTTGGCCTCAATTTCTTTACTGGTCAAATGAAATAAAAAATGGTTTCCCTGTTTCATACCTTGCTATAAAGGCCAATTAAGGAATATATTTAAAACATTCTATAAACTGTTAAACACTGTGCAAATTCAAGTGCTCATTATTGTTATTCTTGTTGAATGTCTCAGACATTTGAACCAAATTGATCTAACCCCATCCTACAAAGAGCTGTGAGTGCTTTCATATCTGCTGTACTATTTACTTTTCCAGCATCAAGTTTGTTGGAAAGGAATGTGATTGTTACAGTTTCATTTCATAGAGAGAGAAACCGAAGTACAGAAAAATCCAAGGTCTTAGCTAAAGCCAAACAAAACCAGCAAAGTCTTGTGTGTTTTTTCTCCCCAGCTCTTAATGTCTATAAGAATGAAAAGTTTCATATGAATCCTGCAAAAACAAGTCTGATCAACAGTTTTCTCTTTATAGATGTGAAAATCCATATAATTTTGCAGAGTTCCCAGCATATTGGTAATAGAGATGGGAATAAACATTGGGAGCTTGTGTATTGCCGGTTCACGTCAATCTGGACTGTCTTCATTGGATAGGAATTGTCATCCCAAAACAGCAGGTCTGAAACTGGGTGAAGACCCCTCTACTCTCCTGTATGCTGATTAGTAGCAAAGTACAAATTAGCTCTCCAATCTATAAATTTCCTTAGAGGCTTGGAGCTCAGAAAGCCTGAAGAAGGTCACATGGGCCTCATCTGGGATGGAATGAAAGGGGAGTGCTGGGGTTACATTATCCAGTGCCCTCTACACAACACAGAAAAGATTAATAGGAAAATCTCCAAATTTGGACTTTAAATGGCAATGTGGGATTTACACTTTACATAATTGGTAACTATTAAGTTAAAATATTTAAATCCTGCCTATCCGGAAACAAAGTCATGCTAAGCTCTGATTCATAAAAAAATTCTTGGGATACATTTCTATCTTAGGAGAGTTCATATTTGGTTTGTTTGGTCGGAATGGATCTACCGATGTGAGATCTCAAATTCTGAAGTGACATTTTGTTCAAATATATGAGTAGCATATGGCAGAAGTAGGTAATCTTCAACCTTCAACTTGATTTTATCTAGTTTATGAGACACCTGCCTTGAACTTGTTCCATTTATGCCTTTTAATGCAAAGATAAAACATTATGTTAAATTTTTTTGTAGTTTTGTGTTTAAAGGTTTCAAGATGAACAAAATAAGAGCATAGCTCCACCAAAATCTCTATGTGCATACTTATTTCTATATCTAAGTGTCTTTTTGTTAGTGTCTTTTTTCTGTCTCTTTATTTACACAATTTTTTTTTGAGGGGAGGGGAGTTGGGGTAGTATTTGTGTGTGTCTGCCCCTTGTTCTGTGTTTTTTCCTTACCATTCATTGTCTTCCTCTCTTTCTGTCTCATTTTCTCATGTTTCCCCCCTTTTGTCTCATTCTCTCATGTTTCCCCCCTTTCTCTTAATTTTCCACAACATAGAAAAATTAAAGCACATTTTAGATTATTTGTTATATTAATATTTTATTTGGTGCTATGGTGTTTTGACCCAAAAGAGACTCTACAGATCTTCTAACATATTCCTCTCCTTTGACAGATCTTGCAGCTTTGCTGTTAAATACTGGCAAAACAGGGACCAGAGCCCAGGTCTTCTGATTCTCAGAGAGTTCTGTGTTCTTGCCACAATTTTCTGCTTGCCTCCTGTTTTATATTTCTTGAATAAAGTTCTGTATTTCCTATTTTTAAGTTTAAACGCAAATAAGTAGAACATATTTTATTTCTTTTATATTAAAAAAGCTCCCTTATTTAACTTCAGGGAGTCTATGGCCTTGAGTAAAGTAAAATTTTATATACTCCCTTACCCCCGAGTATGTATGTGAAGGGCCCAAAATAGGGTAGGACCACACTGCAAGCATCCCCGTGGCATTCTCTCTCCCTTTCCTTAAATCTCTAGGAATACAGATT